CCCCCATTGGCCTGGAGTGGCGAATCGCAGCCAGTGGGAGCCGCAATTGGCCGAACCTGCGGACGCGGCAGGTAAACAAACCGGCCCGGCCCGCCAGGGTGCTTACCCTGACAGGCTGCGTGCCAAAGGTTGCCGATCTCTGCTGTAGTGCATAAAGGATCATACTATAGAGTTCTGTTGCATTTCATTATAGATGGGGAAGAAATTGGTATAATTACCCACTTTAGAGTGTTTAGATGATTCTGTAAAATAACTTTCATAATTAGAACCATGCATCAGATCATGGAAATTAAGAACGAAAGGCCTTATTAGTGTTGGTCTGTCCTGTTGCTAGAGCATGATTGCTCCCAACAGTACACTTGGGCTACTCTTTGTGAAGTCTGGTTTTAAATGCTTCAAGTAGTAGGATTTCCATCACCTTTTGGGACATTATTTCCACAGCCTGATGATCTCACTATCATTTTCCCTTTCTTAACTTCCTTCTGTCACTTACAGCTTTTCCTGCTTGTATCACCCTAAATAATTTCTCTTCTTACTTGTTTTATACCTTTCAAATGTTCATAGTCAGTTAGCACAGCCCTATTAAACACTTGCTTTGTCAAACTACATATATTTAGCTGTTTTTATTTTATCTCGAGTCATTCCTTCGAGTACTCTAATTTTTGTTGCTTTTTTTCTGAACTCCCTCTAATTTGTGTTGATCGTTTTGGGTAAAGGTGTCCAGAGCTTGAACGCAGTATTCAGTGTTTGTTTTCACTGGACAGAAGCTGTAACTTGCTCCATGATGTGAGGTTTCTACGTATGCTGCCCGCAGTCTTGTATTACTACTGTTGTTATTTGTAATTGCTGCCACATCATGTTGCAAACTATAATGTAATTTGCTGTCCATTATTACTGCTATGTCTCTTCGGGTGTTAACGGCTTTCCTTATGTCTCGCGTCCATTAAATATAAATTTAAAAAATGCGAGTTACTACATCTTTCAAAAAATACTTGTCAAGTTTTTTAATAAATTTGTTTTTGGAAAGTGGAAAATTGTATGATCTGCAATTCTTGAATACAGTTTAAAGTTTCCTCCCCATTACTGCTAAATGAACATTTCTAGAGGAGTGACTTCTCTTCATTGTGACATTGGTGAGATAACCCTTTGACAACAGTAGGTGGTTTAAAAAACAAACAAAAAAAACATTTTTTTTAAATTACCCAAGTCCTTCTTTAAAAACAAGAGAATTGAGTTACTATACTCTTTTATTGTTTTAGAATCTTCAAGAGCATATTAAATCATCATATCATGACTTCATCTGCTCATTCTGGGTTTTGTTTGCTAACTATGACTTTGTGTCTCCAGTGATTGATTTTTGTTCATTGTATGTAGTATATTTCCCCTTGCTGTCTGGGTTCGGGTGCTAAATGTGGCCCAGTTTTATGTCCCTCTCAAGAAAAAAAAGTGAAGATAGTTGTAGATCAGTTATTGTTTCAAGTCTTTTCCATGATCAGGTTCTATGAAAACACTGAATAATTGTTCAGGATGAGAATTTGTATATGCTTCTAGTGGCCAGTGTTCTCTCTAATTTTTCCCACGCATGTGTGGAATGAATTTTGTTATGTGCACCAATATGGAGGTGATAAAACACATCACCTCCATATTGGTGCACATAAGAAAATGAATGTGGCAGGGGTGGAGCCGAGGGGTTCGGAGTGTAGGAAGGGGCTCAGGGCTGGGGAAGAAGGTGGGGGGGGTGTGAGGGCTCCAGGGTGGGGCTGGAGATGAGGGGCTTGGGGTGCAGGCTGCCCCACGGCTACAGCAGGGGGAGAGAGGATTCCCCCCAGCTCTCTCTCCCTGCAGCAGCACCTGGGTTGGGGTGGGGAGAGGTGCCTCTCTCTGCTGCGGCAGCTCTGCGGCTAGAGCCGCAGGATAGGCGCTTCTCCCCTGGCCTGGGCAGGTCCTGGGCTGGGTTGGAGGCCGGGGAGGGGCTCCTCTCCCCCAGCCACAGCAGGTCTGTCTGCAGTCTGGGACACTGGTGATGGTCTGTGGCTTTGGGCTCCCCGGGGAGCCCGAAGCAGTGGACTGTCCATCACTGACGGCGCAGCAGCGGCTGTGGGCTTTTTTCCGCGGCTGCTGTTCCCCCCCCCTCACCCCCCACCCCAGGTCACTGGTAGGTAGCTGGCGGCTGCTGCCTGCCAGTGACGGAGGGCAGAGAGAGGAGCCCTCAGGAGCGAGTGGACGGGGGTGGGAGGTTGGGTGATGCCCTGGGCCTGCGGGCCTAGAGGAGCACCAGGGAGGGGCCGGAGAGGAGCCAGCACAGCGGCTGCTGGGACGTAGCTCAAGTGAAGGTGGAACACCAGGCCGGCGGGGCCCCTGCTGATCGTGAGCCTGGCATCATTATAAACCTGGTACTGGCTGGGTTGGGGCCGGGGGAGGGGAACCTCTCACTGCTGCGGTAGGTCCAGGGCTGGGGGAGAGGCGCTTAATAGACTGCTGCGTGGCCGTGCAGCTTAGAGGGAACTTAGACAGTGACTCAAATCTTGAGTCCAATAAATATTGAAATTGTTTTTCAGTCTTCAGATTTTTCCTTTATGTTGACTGATTTAATATTTTTACTTACCAATGGCGTGTTTTTCTTGTACCATTACAACTAAAAATGTCTTTCTTTGCTCCCATCCCTCAGATTGGAACCTTCTGGTCAAGTATACTAAGTTTTAGGGTTGGAAAGTTTAAGTGTAGAGTGGTATTACAAATTTAAGGATATATTTCTCCCTGTGTGCATTAAAATAGCCGCGTAGAAATTAAGCAAACCGTTTTCAGGTAAGTTCCTGTTTCTGATAATGCATGCTGATTAGAAAACATTTAGAATAAAATGAAGAATATCCTTTCATATGTAGCAATGTTACTATACTACACAAACTACCTAGGGAAGTCATGGAATCTCCTTCAGTAGAGGTTTCCAAAAAGAGGCTGGATAGCTGTCTTCAATGGTTGAGAAACAACAAATCCTGTATCTTGGCAGGGGTTTAGACTAGATGACGTTTGCGGTCCATTCTAACCCAATGGTTCTATGATTTCTATACAGATCATACTTTACAACTATTTTTTTTCTTTTAAATGGAATATAAAAACAACTGCATATTATCTTATATAGGGTTCTTTCAGGTTAAAAATTATTCAGTTTTTTTCTTATTACAAATAACACTAGATTATCAAAACTGAGCATTTGATATTTTTACAGTTGAAGTTTTCAGTTTCACATTTGTTTGCTTAACCTTAAAGGGTAATTTTATAAGCAAATTTCATTGCATTAAAATAGTACTGCAATTTTGGTGTTGCAAATACTGCAGGAGAACGTTTTAATTGGTCTGCTGCTCCTGAAGTTATTGAAAAATTAGTTTTGCAACAGGGATTGAAAAACTTACATACTAGTTAGAGATTGATACAAGAAATAAGTGGTGGGAAAGGCAGGGGAAGCCCACCATTGATGTGTTTTTAGGCAATACCATAGTGAGAAACAAAACCCAACTTTTAGATCGCAGAAGAGGAAAGTATGCCAAGATCCCTACCAAAGTGCTTCTTGGAATATTTGTATTCACCAACTTCTTCTCGTTGTAGAAGGGAAGAAAGGTTGTGTTTTGTTTTCTCTCCCTAGTCATCCAGACTGTGCATCTGTAGGAGAGCGAGGCTGTCCTCTCTATGCTGCATACCCCTATAGGAGAGCGAGGCTGTGATCTCTTTGCTATATACCCCTCCCACATAGATGCCTGGTGGCTGCAAGGGTAGAAGGTATCTGCTGTTCTGCCTCTCACCAGCTTCCATTTTTGGGTCTCTCTCACATGACTAACTCCAGTGCCAGTATATGTTGTGGGGCACAGCTTTCCCCAAGCAGCAAAAGAACCATGAGGAACAGCAGCAGATGCAGGCACTTTGGCTGTTGGTTTACAGATCAGGAAGACAGGCAGCACCGATTCCATCCACGTTGGGTCATATTTGGAAGGTTATCTTCAAAACCATAATGGCGATAAACTTAATTAAAAAAATATTAAATTTTAGTTTCTGAGAGAATTGATTGTTCATGCTTCTGAATTTCCCTGGGAAAATGCCGCATTCACCACTGTCTATTAGGTGCATTAAGTTTCCAAGCTCTGTTTTACAAAACCTAAATTTTGGACCAACTTTGATCTGACAGCATCCCTTTAACTACTGAGGGATTCAAGGGGGTTTATTATTTATTAGTACATGTTAATTTCAAGATTCTTAAATTCTATATTTAAGATTGTGTGGATCAAAGTTTGCTATTTATGTTTTTCAGAATTTAAACAAGCAAGCATATGACTTGGCAAAGGCTTTACTAAAGAGGACAGCTCAAGCTATTGAACCGTACATTACTAACGTAAGTCAAGATTTGCAAGTGATTAAACACATGGGTGAAAATAAAAACTTTAAAAGAGCTGAGTAATTTATTGGTAGTTATTAATTTTGTTGTAGGTTAGGTAGTTTTTAAGATTAATAATTTGGAACTGTTATATGATGGAGAAGATCTGCTACATTAAAAATACCATATCATATTGCCCTTAAAATCTAATACTCAGTTGTTTGGAAATTACCAAAGCCATTACCAGATTTGAGGTACTCAGTTACAATTTCCTGACCCAGTTGCAAAACCAAAGTGTGCTTTTATTATTATCATCATTTTGTATTAGGATAGCACCTAGAGGTCCCATTCATGTTAGTCACATTCAGTTAGGTTCTATACAGATACGTAGTGAGACACAGTCCCTGTCACAAAGAGCTAACAATCTAAATAGACAAGACAAAGTGTGAGAGGGGAAATAGAAGCCCAGAGAGATGAAGTAACATGCCCAAGGTGGCACAGCAGGTCAGTGGCAGAGCTGGGAATAGAACCAAGGTCTCTGACTTCCAGTCCCGTGTCTTGCCCATTAGATTATGCTGCATTGCTGGAGAGGTGTTCTATCATACTGTGGGACTTAGTTGCAAGTTGGTATAGGCAAGACCTAATACCAGTAACTAGGGAGTTGATGGTCTGTGTTTCTTTTAGGTTCAGTGTTCTAAAATGGAAATCAAAGGAGGTTGGTTTTGTGTGTGTGTGTGTGTGTGTGTGTGTGTATATGTATATATATATATATATATATATGTGTGTATATATATATATATATGTGTGTATATATATATATATATGTGTGTATATATATATAGAGAGAGAGAGATATGGAATGGAATGGCATGGAAGTTGTTTACAGTGATCTGGTGTCAGGGACTTATCCCAGTCAAACAAGGGGGATGGTAATTAACATAAAATATGGGGGAAATAAAATCTAAACAAACTAGCATTGATATGTAGTCAGTGTCAGCAAGTATAGCAGCTTCTTGCGTAATTTCTTCACTGGTCTGATCTAACCCATAATCATGATTAAAATGGAACTGTCCCTTCATCTGTGACAGTCAGATGATAGCTCAGGCTCCTCTTAGAAAACTTGATTCTTCTTTGAGTGATTGTTCACGTTCATTACACATTAGGTGTGCGCGCGTTGCGTGCACGGACGTCGGAAACTTTTCCCCTCAGCGGCTCCCGTCGGGCCGGCAGGGTCCCCCCTCCCGCCAGAGCGGCGCCCCGCTCTAGCGTATATATATCCCTGCGGGCCCGACCCTCCCTCAGTTCCTTTTTACCGTCCGTGACGGCGTTGGAACAACTCTGTCTCTTGCTTGAGTGTCCCTTAGCGTTAATAGTTAGTGTTCTTCTTAGCAGTTATCAGTTCTTTAGTACCTAGTGTTAATCTTAGCAGTTAACAGTTCTTCAGTAGTAGTTAAGCTCCTTTGTTTTAGGTGTTTGGTCAATCCTGACACCGGCCCTGGGCGGCGGGGCATGCCGCACGCCCAAGGCTTCAAGGCTTGTGCCACGTGCCGCAAGCCTATGCCGATAAGCAATCCCCACGACTTGTGCCTCCGTTGCCTGGGGGAAGCACACCAAAAAGAGCGCTGCAAGATCTGTAAGGCCTTCAAGCCCAGGACTAAGAGAGAGACTTTCGCCTTAAGCAGCTGCTCATGGAGGCTGCATTACAACCCTCCGCATCAGGCCGCGGCACCGTCAACTTCGGTGCGGAGTGCCCCGGCATCGGTTCGTGATCCGACACCGGCGGGGCACCATAAGCCGATGGCACCAACACAGCAAGACCGCCCCCGGCACTGGTCATCTTCGCCGGCAAAATCGAAGGGCCAACCCAAGGCCCGAGGACGCTCCCCGCATAAGAGGGCAGCGCCCGCGAAGACCTCGAATGTGCCTAAGGGAGTGGCGACCCCAGGACACATCCCGGTTCCAGTGGCTCCGGCGCCGAGAGGCCCGTCGAGCCCCGGGATAGGCGCATCGAATGAGGAGGAAGGGCTGGAGGAGCTTTTGGAACAGCCCTCCACCCCGGACACGTTTGAAGCAGCAAAGGACCTCATCGAATTGTCCGCTGAGGGCCCTCTCCGAGCCAAAGATAATCCGCCAAGACTGCCATCCAGAGGCAAGCCGGCAATGGTGCGCCCATCACGGTCACCATCTCGGCGCCGTTCCCGGTCGAGCTCCGCCTCGGTGGACTCCCAGCTACCCTCGGCGCAGAGGGCCACACAGCCGTTGGGGCCCAACAAGTGCCCGGCACTGACCCAGCAGCTCTACTCGAGTAGGCACCGGGACGTGTCAGCCACGCGATCCCCAAGACCGACCACTCGCAGTCGTTCCCAGTCCCGAGGTCACCGATACCGGTCCAGGTCGGCAAGACGTTAGTCCCGGTCACGGAGGTACTACTCTCCGACCCAGCACCGTCCCACAGCACCACTGTGGCCATCCAGGTCACCGTCCGTGGTTTCGGAGGCAGACTCGGGCCAGTCCAGCAGATTTGCCCACAGGGCACTGGCTGGTAGGGAAGACGAAGCCGCTTGGCACCCACAGTGGGGCCAGCCAGGACAATGGCCATTCTGGACCCCTTGGGCCTACCATCAGCAAGGCTCCCTGTCCAGGACCTCGAGATCTGGCCCCTCGAAACACCGCTCCCGCTCCCCGTAGGGGCGCCCCTCCTCTCTCAAGGAGGCCACGGTCTCCAGACCTCCGGAGCAAGAAAGAGCCGACTCGGCACCGAGCCCGGCACCGTCTCAGGCCCACTCTATAGGACAGACCCCAGAGGAGTGTCCAGTAGGTGAGGAGTTGCAGGAAGAGGAGGATGCACAGAAGGCCCTAACCTCTTCCTCCTCACCAGATGAAGCCGTGGCAGGCACGACAGTGTCCGGCCCTTCCCCGATTGACCATCGGGCACACCAGGATCTGCTCCGCTGAGTAGCCCTTAATCTGGGGTTGCAGGCGGAGGAGACTGTAGAGCAGGAGGACCCCATGGTTGACATCCTAAGCCCGGAAGTCTCCTCCAGGATTGCACTCCCGCTCATAAAGACAGTACAGTCGAACTATAAGACAGTGTGGCAAACACCAGCCTCCAGCGCACCAACTGAGAAAGGCGTAGAGAGGAAGTACTTCCTCCCCTCCAAGGGGTTTGACTTCCTCTTTTCTCACCCAGCACGCAGTTCGCTGGTCGTCTCTGCGGTCAACGAACAAGAGCGGCATGGCCAGCAAGCCCCGGCCCCCAAGGTCAAGGAGACAAAGCGCTTGGACTTATTTGGTAGGAAGGTCTACTCGTCCGGGGGCCTCCAGTTGAGGATTGCTAACCAACAAGTGATTCTGAACAGACACAATTTCAATTCTTGGGCATCAGTCTCCAAGTTTAAGGACTCCCTGCCCCAGGGTTCACAACCAGAGTTCGCTGCCTTGGTGGACGAGGGGAAGGCAGTAGCCAAAACCTCTTTGCAGGCCTCCTTTGACTCCGTGGACGCAGCGGCCAGGACAGTTGCGTCAGGAGTGGTGATGAGGTGCTCGGCATGGCTACAGGCTTCCGGCCTTCCCCCAGAGGTACAAAACACCTTGCAAGACCTCCCGTTCCATGGGTCAGGCTTGTTCTCAGACCAGATGGATGCCAGATTGCATAGCCTCAAAGACTCTTGAGCAACACTCAAGTCGTTAGGAATGCACACCCCAGTGACACAGAGGAAACCCCTTAAGCCCCAACCACCGCAGAGGCAATACCACCCTCATCCTAGACAGGAACCGTACCGCAGAAGGGGCAGGGATAACAGGCGTAGACGTAACAACACGCCTAATCAGGGCCAAAGCCACGGCCAAGGCAAGCCGCAGCCGGGAAATAATCAAGGGTTTTGAAGCTGCGATCGAGGACAGCGTATCGACCCTTATACCGGATCCTCCTCTGTTTCAGGGACCGCCTGTCCCATTTTTACCGTGCTTGGTCCCGTATAACATCGGACCGCTGGGTCCTTCGCACGGTGGAGGCGGGATACACCCTTCAGTTCTCCTCGCCCCCTCCTTTCCATCCCCCATCCCCGTCCCTCTTCAGGGACCCCTCTCACGAGCAACTCCTTATGCAGGAGGTGCGGGCCCTCCTCAAAGTAGGAGCAGTGGAAGAGGTCCCTCCGGACCTAAGAGGGAAAGGGTTTTACTCCATATATTTCCTAATTCCCAAAGCAAAAGGGGGCCTCCGTCCCATTTTGGACCTCCGCAAACTAAACAAATTTTTGGTCAAGGCACGTTTTCATATGGTCTCCCTTGGCGTTATTATCCTATCCCTGGATCCGGGGGATTGGTACGCTGCCCTTGATATGAAAGATGCGTACTTTCACATCGCCATCCGCCCGGCCCACTGTCGGTTCCTGCGCTTCACCATCAACCAACACCATTTCCAATTTACGGTCTTACCCTTCAGCCTAGCAACGGCCCCGCAAGTGTTCTCGAAATGCATGTCCGTGGTGGCAGCCTTTCTTCAAAAAAGAAAGATGCAGGTATACCCGTACTTGGACGACTGGCTCCTCACGAGCAGGTCAGAGGACGAGGTCTGCTCCCACGTGGCACTGGCGTTACAGGTGTTCCGCAAGCTCGGTCTACTGGTCAATGTACCCAAGTCCTCACTGATCCCCACATAGAGACTAGATTTCATAGGAGCAGTCCTGGACTCGGTGGCGGCACGGGCAAGTCTTCCAGTGTCACGGTTCCTGGCCATTCAAAGGGTCGTAAGCTCCATCTAACAATTCCTCACGACCACGGCCAGATGCTGTATGCAACTCTTGGGGAGATGGCGGCTTGCACATATGTAGTCAGACATGCCCGCCTAAGACTCAGACCGTTACAGTTGTGGCTGGCCCAAACGTATCGCCCCAACAGACCCCTTAGACCTAGTAGTGACGATCCCAGCTCGAGTGTCGAACTCCCTCCACTGGTGGCTCGATCAGCAGCAGGTTTGCGAAGGGGTCCGTTTCGCCACCCCGCAACCCACTCTGACG